TTTTCCCCCCCCCCCCCCCCCCCCCCCCCAATTTCACTTCTTTAGGATTAAAGGGTAAAAAGAGGGGATTTGAAGTTTTATTCTCTAAAATCAATATTATTACCCAAAATTCATCCATCAAATACCTTAAAATCCCTAATTTGTTCTCTCTTTCGCGGATTCTTCACTTCTTCTATGTTGATTAGAAGTTTTACTAGTCCAGAAATGGTTGTTACTCGTAAGGTTTTGAATAACAAAAATTCTATCTTCAGGTCTTAGAAAGTATCTTAGTTGATATTGAAAGGCGTAAGAATCCAAAGATTGCAATAGAAAGTTTCAAAGACAAGTTCTTTTAGATTAAAGTGCCTTGATTTGTGCTTTCGTGTGTTTCTGTTGGTGTCTTCATGTTCATGAGTCGTTACTTGTGTGCTAGTGATGGCGCCTTCATTTGTGTACGTGTTTTTGTGTCTACATAGCACCTTTGTTTGCTCGTATTAATGATATTGTCGACATTGCCTTGTGTGCCTTCACGTTAATAATTTTTTGTTAGAAAAATTGTATTTTACGAAGAAAATGCTTTGGGTAGAATAAGAGGACGTGGTGATGGAATATGAGGTTCATTAGAAACATGATACCTCTGAGCATGCACCAATATATTAGATAGCATTATTCTATATTTAACTAACATAACTTTGTATTTTAATCAAATTAACAGCCTGTTTGGAAGTGATTTTTTTCTCCGAAAAATTAATTTTTTGACCGTTATTTCGCTATTCCAACTATTATATTTGACTTCTTCTCTCACAGGTGAACACTACTTTTCCCTGAACGGTCAAAAAATCAATTCTCAAAATCAATTCCAAACAAGTTCTAAAAGACGGTAGACCATTCTTTTCTCTCCTCCTTTTTATTTTTATTTTTTATTTTTTATTTTTTATTTTTTATTTTTATCAAAAAATGAGAATCATTTCATTAATATCATAAAGCCGCAACTTTTGCGTACTAATAATAGAGATAGATTTCATCAGCATTATTTATTTATTTTTCTTTTTTGGTACCAAAAAAAAAAAGCAAGAAATGTATAAAATGAATGGTAAAAAGTAATTTTGAAAAAAAGAAGTGAATTTTAAAAACATGAACCAAACATTTAAAATTTAAATCAGGATAATTTTGAATCAACCAGTTTCAAAATATTTTCGACATCTAATTAGCTTAAGGCAGTAAATACTCGATCTTTCCTTTTATATAGATCATAAAATTATCCAAATATTTATGATTCAGTGAGTAAGACCACTGATCTCATAGACACGTACACTTCAATTCAGGTTACCAACAATCAAATCTATAAGCTCTTAATTTCAAAAACCATAAACTGTTCAACTTTAGGAACATTCAACACATGCAGAGTAACAAGCAAATAATGATCATCCAGATTTCAAAATTAGATAAAACCAAGTCATGGAAATTTTGTCCAACAATCAAACTCCCAAACGAGAAAACGCCACCATAGTTTGGCGTAATAACATAATGTCACAACAGAAAAACAACTAATCCAAGTTTCTAAGAGAACTATTGATGCCTCCAATTTACTTTGAAGATGAATTTGGTGACTTCTTCTTCCCAAAGCCAACAACTGAAAGCAGTAGTAGACATGCAAAACATGAATTAGCAGCAGCATTATGTTTCCAAACAAAACAAATTTAGCATTCAATACAAGAAAATTCCATGGAAGTTGTATAAATATTATATATAAATTTAGTTATTCAAAGAAACACAATAAAACTTAAAAGAGTATCAAAGGACGAACGAAAAGGTGACACCATTAGTTTGTTTGTTTTTCGTTAAAGATTCTTCAAGGCCCAAAAAAATAGTTTCGATTTTAGCATAACCAAAAAACAATGTGGTTGAAAAATGTGGAGGCTTTAACTACTTGGGGCACCTCTTTCTAACGGCCTACTTGGAGGTGAGTTTTGTCCAATGTGGTTGAAACAATTAGATTAATACCATGCACGTCTTGAAACGACTCAATTATGGAGATGACAGCCTTAAAAAAGCTATTTCCAGTCGAAACTATTTCCATGGAGTCACCTACCATGAAATATGGATGACTCTAATTGCATAAGCCTTGCTTGGAGGCTTTAACTAATTGGGGACCCTTTTCTAACATGCCTATTTGGAGGTAAGTTTTGTCCAATGATTAATAGCATGCACGTCTTAAGACGACTCAATTACAGACAGGACAACCTCAAAAAAACTATTTCCAGTTGAAACTATTTCGGCAAAGTCACCTACTCGGAAATACAGAAGTGGAACCCTGTAAATCTCAATTACAAGAGAAGGCATGGATTGGAAGACTCTAAATGCATCTTGCATTAAGACTTAGCTTGCACTTGTAAGTTACAACTAACTGGACTCTCTGGGCAAGCAGGTTTTAAGGGTGTGTTCTGTGTTCTACCTAAGGTGGCTGTATCTATACAAATTCTCTGAGAACCAATTATAGTTTACTGATCAAATCTCCAATGAAAAAATAAGCAATCTTTAACTCAGAATTAAAGACTTTGAATTCCCCAACATTGAATGGATTAAAAGGATGCAAAACAGAAGTTATGTCCAACAAGTTAGTAAGAACAATTTCATTGGAGTACTAAACTTCTAGAAGCCAAAAAACCACATAAATCTATCAATCAGAGTTTACTTCTCTCATAAACAAAACCATGAGAAAATAAAACGAATTATTAGCATCGAAACAAATAAAGGGTTACCGGCAGTGACGAAGCGGCGGTTGTATTGCATCCGCTTGTGGGCACGGCCACGGGGCTTCTTCTTCTTATCCTGCTTCGCCACCTTTGGAGTCTGCCCTCTGACCTTTCCGGCACGAGCCAATGATCCGTGAACCTTACCTGCATTTTACACAATCGAATCACATTATCGTTAATTGTCGAATCAGATCTTATGTGAAATAGAGACGTAGATTATGACTATCTGGAAAATTACCCATGATTAATTTTTCTTAGTCGCCTGAAGCAGAGAGATCCCTAGGGTTGTTTTGCCGCTGGGAAGAAACGGAGCTGCAGATGAGAAATGTCAGAATTAGGGTTTTGTGTTATTTAAAGGTTTCGAAATGGGCTAGGTCCCAAATACAAAGCCTCAATTTGAATTTCGGCCTAATGTGTCCATGACAACAAATTGCCCAAAATGGGGAAAAAAATAATGGATAAACGTATAATTACCCTAAATTTGAGGACCAAACTGAAACTTAAAAAAGAAAATGTGAATATTCATCCCCAATCTTACTAGAGACGGCCAAAAAAAAAAAAAAAAAAAAAAAAAAAAACCCAAAAAAGGGGGGAGGGGGGGGGGGGGGGGGGG